TGATCTTTTAATGTCAGTCTGAACCACACAGATCAGATGTTTTCAAATGTGACCCAGGACACTTGGATATGTGGTTCTAAAACCGACACATATCTGATCTTTTGACATGTGACTTCAGTGTGAACGTCACACATTGCCACAAACGTCACTATTCTGCGCTGAAGTAGGCGAAAATTGTTAATGAACTCCATGTCACTGAAGTGAAGCACATCTCCACTCACCACTCTTGGCTCCGTCTCCACATCCACACGTTCTTTTCAAAACAACAACAAGTAAGTTGTTCATGTTCTGGCTCCGGTACGAGAGGAACTTTAAAATCTCCAGGTGCTCGATGCTGCGTCCATGTTTGGACAACTTCTGTAAACACAGAGACGCTCGCTGCGGTTGACGTCGTCGTGTCTCCAGTGTCACATGTGGGACACTTTTGGACTGTTTAATGTTCACACTGGAGTCACATACAAGTCACATTTAACTGGAAATGTGAACGACCTCGAAAAAACATCAGATTTCACAAAAAAAATCCGAATTGAGCGTTAAGCCCTGCAGTCTGAACGTAGACTTTTTCGGCATCATAACAATAAAAAGGCGTAAGCAAGTAGCGTTTTTTCTTTGTTTGTTCCATAATATCACTGATTAAGGACATGAATTTGTAATACATCTTAAGTACGTCACAGTGGGCGGGTACGAGGGGAAGATCAGACCAATGACGTCTCGAATACAGGAGAATAAAAATGACCAGGGACGAGACGAGACGCACTTTTGACAAGACAAGATACGATATTGGGTCCACGAGAACGAGACAAGACGAGATTTTAATATAATTTGTAGTTTATACATTTCAAGATTCAGTTTCCAGGTTCGACCTCACAGATTTTTATTTATTTGAAACACAGTGGAGCATTTTCTGACATCATAAAGTGGATTGTTTATCATTTGAGAGAAGAACTCAGGGTTTGGGACTTAAACATGTGAAAGAAACAAAAAACACAACTCCAGGTCTGTTTGTGACGAGGAAACATTAGAACACAGATCAGAAAATAGCGTCATCTTGGTTCTTTAAACGTGTTTTTAGGACGTGGTTTGCAGATTTCTTGTTTTCCGTGTTGATGATGTTGAAGTGTTTTTGTGCTCTGAGCCGCGTCTCGTCTGATCACGCTCTCACCCGACAGACGTTCGCTATTTTTAGTCCGTCTGTGATTCTGTTGATGCTCCATTTAGAACAGTGTTGGTCTCAGACGTGTTCCATTACGCGTTCGTTTAGGAGCTGCAGAGTGTGAGTTCCTGCCCACAACGCAAAAGTGTTCAACTCTCTCGTCAACTCTCGAGTTTTTCACACTTTTACGACGACTAAACTGTACAGAGAAGAGAAAAAAAGAGACATTGTGCATTAGAAAAGAGTTAGAAAAGTTTATTTAAGACCCAAGACCTTTAAGACGTTACAATTTGTCCATTTCACTTCAGCCCAGTCTTTCTGTGCTTCTGTTGTAGGGAGTATTATACCTCTGATGATGCTCTCAGTACAAATGTTATTTCTCTCTGTTTATTTTTGTATTTTTTAAAACACGGCAAAGGAGAAATTCATTTTGTCGACTGGACAAACGTTTATTTTGGTCAGATACGTTTCTCGCTGCTTCTTCGGTTCTGGTCAGACGCTGCTGGACAAAGAGTCCTTAAATCTCAGAGGTCCCCAACCTTTTTTGCGGCAAAGACCGGTTTTATGTCTCTTAAAGGCAATATTTTCATGGACCTGCAGCGTTTAGGAGGCGTGTTGAATGCAGTGTTGTTTAGGCCTGGTTAAATCCTGGTTTAGTCCAGATTTAATCCTGGTTTAGTTCTGGTTTTGTCCTGGTTTAGACCTGGTTTAGTCGTGTTTTACACTTGGTTTAGTCCTGTTTTAGTCCTGGTTTAGACCTGGTTTAGACCTGGTTTTAGACCTTGTTTAAGACCTGGTTTTAGTCCTGGTTTAGTCATGTTTTAGACTTGGTTTAGTCCTGGTTTAGACCTGGTTTAGAACTGGTTTTAATCCTGGTTTAGTCCTGGTTTAGTTCTGGTTTAATCCTGGTTTAGACCTGCTTTAGACCTGGTTTCAGTCCTGGTTTAGTCCTGGTTTACTCCTGGTTTTAATCCTGGTTTTAGTCCTGGTTTAGTCGTGTTTTAGACTTGGTTTAGTCCCTGGTTTAGACCTCTTGTTTTGTCCAGATATAGTCCTGGTTAAGTCTGGTTTTAGTTCTGGTTTAGTCCTGGTTTAGTTCTGCGCATGCACTGGCGTATGTTGGGGGGGTTTATGGTTTCGTGACCCGGTACCAAACGACCCAGGGCCCGGGACCGGTCCTCGGCCCGGGGGTTGGGGACCCCTGCTGTATCTGCCTACAGGGAGGAGCTAACTACACTGAAACTACACTGAAACTAACACACACTGTTTACAGTTTCTGTTTGTTAACTCGGCCTGTTTGTCTGACGATGTCCGACGCCTCCAGTTCTGATCAAGGACGTCTGGTCAAAAAACAAAACTTTAGGTCTGATTTTGAGGAGGGAACAACAAAAGTGACTCAATTTTGCATAAAACGATTTACAGCGAGAAGTATTAAAAAAGAAAGTAGTAACGGCGTGTTTGTCTAACCCGGTCTGAGCTGAGTCTGTCTTATATGTGCTCTGTCTAACCTCTGTCTAACCTCTGTGTGACCTCTGTGTGACCTCTGTGTGACCTCTGTGTGACCTCTGTGTGACCCCGTCTGACCCTGCTGTTCTGAGCGTGCCCAGTTCATGTGTGTTCTGACTCTGTGCATATCTCTGTCGTATTTTCTCTGTGCCACACACATCAGACTAAAAACAGGAACTTTGAGCAAATGGACCTACAGCACTTTGACTTCAGGAGGACCCCCAAGGTATACCCTCTGCATGCTCCATGAGCTGCACGTCGCCCAATCGTAGCGCAGACGCCGCGTTAGTCCCGCCCACCGGACACATGACGGACACATCCCTCCTTTTTGCTTTGGTTCCATTGGTTTCCTGCATCGGGAATGGGTCGCTCACAGGAGACGTCCCCCTGCCATTTCCTGAACCCCCTCCCTACTTCCTGTTTCCTTCTTCCTACCTCCTTTTTCATAGACAGGTAAGCCCCGCCTCCTTTGGACCCGGCCGACGGAGTTTGTGGCGGCGGCGCGACCGGGAGCTGAGGCGAGGGGCGTGAGCGCGTCACAGAGACACGACTGGAGGAATGTGAGGTCCGAGAAATCGAAAAGAGGAGCTAGAGTTTAAAGAAATATGAATAAATGTGAAGTTTTGATGTTGACGTAGGAAGTTCTGCATCTACAGTCGCGTTTGGGTCGTAAACTTCACTTAAACGAGCAAATATGAGTGTGGTTAATTTAATTTTATGAAGTTTCTAGATCAGGAGTGTCCAAACATTTTTCATCAAGAGCCACATCTCTAAACACAGACGAAGCAGAGGCCGATCGAGGGTCGTAGACTGGAGCTCAATACAGTAAATAATTCAAATCTGTGCATGTTTAACACGTTAGATTGAACCATCTTCCGTCTTTATTCACGTTAAGATCCATAAAACCACACACTAAATATTAAATATTGGCTTTACCCAGGTAGATTTGCAAAAAACTTGCAATAAAAAGGTAATTGATGCAAAGTAATTTGGGCCAAGTCTCCTGGAAGCCTGAGGGCCAAGAAAACATTTTCTGCGTACATGGGCCATATTTTGGACATGCCTGATGTAGATGATTTTTTTAGACGGTACAAGTGAATTTTAAACATAAAATAATAGGTTTTTATTATTACAACTATAGTAGTTGTGAATAAATAGATCCAAAATTGTAATTATATGATTTTTCAGTTGAATATGTAGTTTTTTGTTTATTTTTTTGTACTAGTGTCAGTGTGGATTATTGTCTTGGTGTTGATTCATTTGACATCAATAATTCACACGTACGTCTATAAATGAAGCAAAAACAGAAACTAAATTAAAAAATATTAAAATTTGAGATGTTAGATTGAATTTCCTGCTGGATTTATTGTCAAACAAAATCAAAATGTCAAGAATATTTCCAAAACGATATGAAAATCTGAAGGATAACAACAAGTTCATGTCAAACTTGTTAAGTGAAAGTACAGATCCTGAAGCAAAATATACAAAAAAATATACAAAATAAAGTAAAAGTATCACATGAAAAAATCGATTTAAATAAAAGGTTGAAGTGGCGTTTGAAAATTAAACTTAAAGAGTAAAAATTAAAAGTATTTCAAGCATATTCTGAGGTCTTTTGGGCTTCAACTGTAGTGATTTTGATATTTTTAATACAGATTTGTGCTGAAATTTGAGCAGTAGAAACAATTTTATCAGTATTTTTTTTTTTTTTAGCTGTTTTTATTTGTATATTTTTGTTTGCTCGCCTTTTCAGCAGGTTTCACAAAATGTACTGAAGTAGAAAGTACAAATGCTCTCAAATGTAGTGAAGTAAAAGTAAAAAGTACAGAAACCTAAAATATTTACTTATGTACTTTTCTACGTTTACTTTGTAATTTTCCACTGTCGGACCTCAGATTTCTGCTCGTGTAAAGTCTCTGTGACTCGATGGTTCACGCCGCGCGCCGCCGCTCCTGGCCACGCCCCCCGGCATCGGCGCCGCTCTGACGGAGGCGGGACTTCTGTCTATGGCGGCTGCATGTTACAGACTGCGGTTTGGATCTGCGGACACTGCCTTCCTTTTAGGCCCCTCCCCCTTGCCCCTAATGCACGTCCCTGATTGGTCGTTGGTTTGATTGACAGCGCCCGTTGCATGTTGCCACCACCTCCCTCTCCTTTTTTGGGCTTTGTTTCTTTGATTTGAGCGGCGTGTTTTTTTGGCCCTCTCTGCGGCGGGAGGCAGCATGGTCGCGGCTGACGCTGGGGGCGGGGTCTAAGGGAGGAAGTGGGCGTGGCCTGTGATGCCAGCGCTAACGGAGCCTGTTCTATGACTGTTGTGTTGTATTGCTGTGCTGTGGATCAGGCAGAGAAGGTGCTGCTCTTCAGCCAGGACACCAACCTGACGGCTCTGCTGCTCGAGGCCAAAGACCTGGAGGCCCGGGTCATCATCCTGTCCGCAAGGTACGACCACACCAGAAACTCACACATGTTGTAAGTGTAAAGTCATGAAAAATGTGTTCAAAGCTTCCCATGTCCTGCTAACATGCCAAAAGTCACTTTCACTTCACTGTTGTACTGCATTATACTGTTTATACTGAATTCTTCCTGGACGTTGGTACTCGGCTGAGGCTGAAGCAACAACAGTTTTCTGGTTTAGCGTCCACCTTTTTCTCCAAGTTGGACACACAAAACATAATAAAATGGTTGAAGTGCAGATGAAGGACGTCATGTCTGAGACGGACAGATAAACGAACACAGTTCAGACTGAACGCAAATGACGTGACCACGACGAACACTTTACATGTTAACTCTATGTAAAGGCGCGGTGACGCGTTAATAAAGGTGCAAATCGGCGTGAATCTGCAAAACTGGTGTTGCAAATTCCCAAAAGTGAGGGGCTCACGAAATTCAACAAAGTTCAAAATATTGCACTTTTCTGCGAATATTCGCGTCACATCAAACGATCAGGATCGGTGTTCTGACAGTGACGTATAAAACTGAGACAGTTCAGTTCAGGACACACTCACTGATCCCGCCAGAAACAAGACGATATTTAACAACACCAGCACGAGACAGAGACCGAAATAAACTCCACAGAGCAGGACCTGCACCAGACTCTGTCCCCTCTGCTTTATTCTGGTCCCGGTCTGGTCCCGGTCTCAGTCCAGGTCTGGTCTCAATCTCAGTCTCATTCTAGTTCAGGTCTTAGTCCTGGTCTGGTCCCGGTCCCAGTCTCAGCCCCGGTCTGGTCCTGGTCTAGGTCTCAGTCCCAGTCTGGTCTTGGTCTCAGTCCCGGTCAGGTCCTGGTCTGGTCAGCCCACTCGATGTCGTCCAAATCCTCAGTTTTTCCAAATAAAAACAACAGATGCAGAGGACACTGTGCCGCTGCAGTTGATTCTTCTGGAGCAACTAAAATAGATTTACTCGTGGGACCAAATTCCCAAACTCGAGCGACCAGGACGAACGAATGAAGCGAGTGACTCAAAGAAGTCAACACTCTGAACACGGCTTAAGAACTCTGTTTAAAACTCAAATGTAAAAACAGTGTAAAAAAAAAATTCTAATTATGATGTGAGTTTGTGTGTAAAGAAACGTAAATAAAACATGTTGTCGTTCCTTCTCTGTCGTCACCGTGTCTGTGTTTGCAGCGAGGACGAGGCGGCGGCGGTGTACAAAGCGGCGCGGCAGCTGAACATGACGGGCGCCGGCTACGTGTGGCTCGTGGGCGAGAGGGAAATGACGGGAAAAGCCCTTCCGGAGGCGCCAGACGGTGAGAACGCAGCCAAACCGGTGTGAACCGGTCTGGACCAGTGTAAACCAGTGTGTGTGCGGACTGATCCCATCCAGCAGTAACTCAACAATCTGAACAAGAAACACAACAAACGCCACCAGAAACACGAGATTTAACTTTAAAAACACAAATACAGCTCCGTGTGCACAGGCCGGAAACCGAGAGTCGCATTTTACAGCTTTAAACTTGATATTTTTAATTCGTGTTTGACAATTAAAAGCAAAACACGACTAGATTAGATCAGATTAGAACACGAGATCACATAATAGAGCCAATTAGAGCCTAAAATACAAAGTTATTAGCAGTTAGACTTAATTTTCATATAATTATAACTGAAAAATAAAGAGCTGTTTTCAATCGATAGTATTAAACCAACCAAAAATGTATTGCCGTTCAGAAAAAAAATATATTTAGACGACAAATTAAACTAAAAATAGAGAGAATTACAGTAGATACATACTAAAAATTGATGAAATCTTAAAAACTAAAATGTTAAAATGGGTAATCCAGAGTAAATCCAAATTTTATGTCTAATTGTCGGCGGTATTTCCGTTTTTTATGAGTGGCGGCACTTTAGATTTTTTTTTCAACATTCCGTCGTTCTGACACATGAGGGAATTATTCTTAAATTGCGGCGGCGCTCTGTTTGGGATCATATTTTCACGGACTGGTGGCGAAGGAAACGTGGTGCATGTGTCATGGTTTACTCCTGGTTAAATCCTGGTTTAGTCCTGGTTTTAGTTGTGTCTTAGTCCTGATTTTAGTTCTGGTTTAAGTCCTGGTTTAGACCTGGTTTTAGTCCTGCTTTAAGTCCTGGTTTAGTTCTATTTTTAGTTCTGGTTTAGTTCTGGTTTTACTTGTAGTTTAGTTCTAATTTAGTCCTCGTTTTAGTCCTGGTTTAGTCCTGATTTTAGTCCTGGTTTAGTACTGGTTTTAGTTCAAGTTTAGACCTGGTTTTAGTCCTGGTTAAATCCTGTTTTAGACCTGGTTTAGATCTGGTCTTAGTCCTGATTTTGGCCCTGGTTTAGACCTGATTTTAGAACTGTTTTAGACCTTGTTTAGTCTTGGTTTAGACCTGGTATAGTCTTGGTTTTAGTCCTGGTTTAGACCTGATTTTAGTCCTGGTTTAGTCTTACTTTAGTCCTGGTTTAGACCTGGTTTTAGTTCTAGTTTAGTCCTGGTTTTAGTCCTGGTTTTAGTTCTAGTTTAGTCCTGGTTTAGTCAATCTGAATAGCGACATATCAAAATGTCGGAATGTCGGCCTTGCAGTTTGAGGACGACAGCGAGGCTCAAACTCCCAAACTTCAGGTCAGGTCCAAACGTCTCGAGTTCTGTAAACGTTCACAATTTTCTTTATTTTGTACGAAAACGTGACCAAACGGCGTCTCAAACCGAACAATTAACAAACAAAACGCTTTTCTGTTAACAAAGCTGAGACGAGAGAATTTTGTAAACCCCCAAAATAGATAAAATTCTTCTGAAATTAACCCCCCCCCCCCAAAAAAAAAAAATCCTAAACTGTTTAACTCGGGGCTGGATGGAAACAGCGCTGCTTCCATTAAACTCAATCGAAGCTAATCCTGGTTAGCCGTTAGCTTCTGGTTAGCTTGTGGTTAGCGTCCCCGTGTGTTCCTCTCTGGTTTTACTGTTGTGCGGTTGAACGTTTAAACCCTGGAGGTGGCGCCGGCGAGCGTTTAAAGGTTCCAACCGTTTCTATTCTTCTTCTTCTTCTTCTTCTTCTGCTTGTTGTAACTGTGGCTTAACTCTGTGTCTAACATCTTTTTGTTTGTTTCATTTTAGTGTGTGTCCTCCGCCGCTGTGCTCAGGGGGAGGGGCTTACCGGGGAGGGGGAGGGGCTTATGGGAGAGGGGAGGGGCTTGTGGTTTAGTGGGTGGAGCCTGTAGATGTTTTCCAAAAAAATATGTTGCAGTTTATTAAAATTCTCCACATAAACCTGGTTTTAGTTCTGGTTTTGGTCCTGGTTTAGTCCTGGTTTTGTCCTGGTTTAGTTCTGGTTTAGTCCCAGTTTAGACCTGATTTAGTCCTGGTTTTGTCCTGGTTTAGTTCTGGTTTAGTCCCAGTTTAGACCTGATTTAGTCCTGGTTTAGTTCTGGTTTAGTCCCGGTTTAGTTCTGGTTTAGTCTGGTTTAGTCCCAGTTTAGACCTGATTTAGTCCTGGTTTAGTTCTGGTTTAGTTCTGGTTTAGTCCCAGTTTAGACCTGATTTAGTCCTGGTTTTAGTCCTGGTTTAGTTCTGGTTTAGTTCTGGTTTAGACCTGGTTTTAGACCTGGTTTTGTCGTGGTTTTAGTCCTGATTTAGTCCTGGTTTTAGTCCTGGTTTAGTCCTGGTTTAATCCTGGTTTAGACCTGATTTAGTCCTGGTTTTAGTCCTGATTTAGTCCTGGTTTACTTCTGGTTTAGACCTGATTTAGTCCTTTTTTAGTTCTGGTTTAGACCTGATTTAGTCCTGGTTTTAGTCCTGGTTTTAGTCCTAGTTTAGTTCTGGTTTAGTTCTAATTTTAATCCTGGTTTTAGACCTGGTTTACTCCTGATTTAGTCCTGGTTTAGACTTGATTTAGACCTCGTTTAGACCTGTTTTAGTCCTGATTTAGTCCTGGTTTTAGACCTGGGTTTAGACCTGGTTTAGTCCTGGTTTAGTCCTGGTTTAGTCCTGGTTTAGACCTGGTCCAGTCCTGGTTTTAGTCCTGGTTTAGTTCTGGTTTAGTCCTAGTTTTAGTCCTGGTTTAGACCTGGTCCAGTCCTGGTTTTAGTCCTGTTTTAGTCCTGGTTTAGTCCTGGTGTAGACCTGGTTTAGACCTAGTTTTAGTCCTGATTTTAGTCCGGGTTTAGACCTACTTTAGATCTAGATTCGGTCCTGGTTAAATCCTGGTTTAGTCTTGGTTAATCCTGGTTTTAGCCCAGAGTCACTGTGAACTCGCCAAACAAACAAAGTCCCACTCACCAATCCAACTGTTGTTTCGTTTAAAGTCCAACGCGGTTTATTTGTGAAAAAAGTTTGAAAACAGACCATTTAATGACGGAAAATACGGAACCTCGAAGACTCTGACGGTTCAAGTCTGAACGGGAGAAATGAGGTTTGTACTTACCTGCTTGTGTGTGACAGATTTTCGCCGATGTCAAAGCTGCTTTAGTGGCTCAGGCCTCGTTTATGTGGAGAATATCAGGCCCAAAACAAAAACAAAAAAACTGTGACGTGGCTCCGGGGCCTCAGAGAGTTTTCAGACGTGGGTTTTGTTTGGGGATTCGGGTCCGGGTGAGGGTTTTTGGGGGGTCTGGTTTCGGGCGGGATTCGGGGTGTAGCCGTAGTCGCCGGTAAACGTGACTCGTGTCTGAGCGAATCTGGTAAGACGCCGCCGCTGCTTCCTGCTTCCTGTTTACTGTTTCCTGCCTGACGCTGTGTCCCCATTGGTTAAGAGAAGCCCCGCCCACAACGGGACCTGCGTGGTTCACTCAGCCAGAGACGCAGCCCAGAATTTATTTTTTTTTTAGTTGATTTTGTGTTGCTTTCTCCAATTTTTTGCACATTATTATTATTATTTTTTTGTCAGATTGGACGTCAAAAACAAGAAAAGTCACATTCTGCTTTTTGTTTGGAGTAAATTTACGGCTCTTGGAACGTGGTTTTGTACTTCTCGAGTCTCTGGCTGTGTGCCCCGCCCCCGTCTGTCTCAGTTCTGACCTCCACCAAAACGTCACCGCCAAAATAACAAGTCATATTTAAACCAAAGCTGAATCTCTGTTTAAAAATGACTGATTATTTGCGCGCGGTGACTCTCAGCTGTTCAGTCTGAGGACGCGCTGGAGAAAAGCTTCGGAGGAAACCCAGACTTCACCGCAGAGTTTCCCTCAAAACAGTAACTTCAGAAATACTAAGTGACAGCTGTTTTACTTTATTCATACCTGTAGGTTAATTTGCAGAGAGATTTGAGAGAAATTACTTATTACTTATATTGTTTTTTTTTTTTTTTTTTTTTTCATGTTTTTTAAGTTGCCTAAGCTCTTAAAGATGACCCAACTCTTCTGAAGAGGTTTAGAAAGGTTTAGTTTGAAGAGGGTGACCAGATTTTCAGATTTTCAAACTCCAAAACTAGGACTCCCGATTTGTATTAGCTGGTCAGGGACGGCGCTACTATTAGGCAAAAGTAGGCGGCTGCTTAGGGCCCCCAAACCTGGAGGGGCCCCCGAACAATTTCCCTCAGTGTCACTGATGACCGAGGCCTCAGAGCAATTAGATTTTCTCTCAATATAACATTAAATGAAAGTAGTTTACTTTTAAATGATAAGAATCACAAGAGAAAAAATAATAAAGTGAGGGCCCCAAAACTCAAGTTCGCCCAGGGCCCCTAAATTGCTGACTCCGCCACTGTGGTTGGTAAAAATAAAATTGAAACAAGCTCATAATAATTAAGGGGAATTGTTCTGCACTCTGATGACTGATGAACATGAGTCAGTTTAGTCACGTTTTCTTTGTGTTTTGGTCGTTTTTAAGCAGCTTTTCTGTATTTTATGTCTCTCTTTAGTAGAGATGTAACAGTAATGGAAATATCGTGATATCGTATCGTCAAAGTTCTCACAATAATATCGTGGACCATCACAAAATATATTTTTGTTTAAATGAAGAGTTATGGTGCAACAATAACTTAAAAAAGACAGAGGAACTACATAGACCATGATCCTTTGCTCCATTTCAGTGCAGACGACAAGAAGAAATAACAGTTCTAACACTTTTAAGTCTTAGTTCTTTGGATTAAGTTTTGTCAAGGCGTTTTAAGAGGAAAAAAGTCGTGTATTAACAGTTTTAGCTGTTTAGTCTCCACAAAATATCGCATTAATATCGTACCGTGAGATGTATATCGTGAAAATATCGTACAGAGAGATTTGGATAACGTTACATCTCTAATCGTGAGAACTTTCCCACGATATCTCAATAAATATCGTACCGTGAGATTCATACCGTGA